GAAAGGAGGTTAAAATCGGTACAACTCTTTCGACTGAAGCAAGAAAAAACCTGATAACCTTACTTCAGGAGTACGAAGATGTGTTTGCTTGGTCGTATCAAGACATGCCGGGACTAGACACAGATATGGTAGTTCACAAACTGCCAATCAAACCAGAATTCAAACCAGTGCAGCAAAAACTGAGAAGAATGCAACCAGAAATGCTCCTTAAGATCAAGGAAGAAGTCAAGAAGCAATTTGATGCCGGTTTTCTCCAAGTAGCCAAATACCCTGAATGGGTGGCCAACATAGTGCCTGTGTCGAAGAAGGACGGGAAAGTACGCATGTGTGTCGATTACCGGGACCTTAATAAGGCCAGTCCCAAGGACAACTTTCCTCTGCCACACATAGACACTCTGGTGGACAATACGGCCGGGAACGCCTACTTTCATTCATGGATGGATTTTCGGGGTACAATCAGATCAAGATGCATCCCGAAGACATGGAAAAGACCACTTTCGTCACAATGTGGGGAACTTTCTGTTACAAAGTGATGCCTTTCGGATTAAAGAATGCTGGGGCAACATATCAGAGAGCTATGGTGACCCTGTTCCACGACATGATGCACAAAGAAATCGAGGTTTATGTCGACGACATGATTGTCAAGGCACAGACCGAGAGTGAACATGTCAAGAATCTGAGGAAGCTCTTCCAGAGATTGAGAAAGTTCCAACTGAGACTAAACCCTAGCAAGTGTACCTTCGGGGTAACATCTGGAAAACTACTAGGCTTTATAGTCAGCAGGAGAGGCATACAGGTCGATCCAGATAAGGTTAAGGCTATCCAGAATCTACCTCCACCACGAACCCAAAAAGAAGTCCGAGGTTTTCTGGGCAGACTAAACTACATAGCTCGGTTCATCTCTCAGTTAACCGACAAATGTGACCCCATCTTTCGTCTCCTCCGAAAGAATAGCCCTGGGGCATGGGATAAAAACTGTCAGATTGCATTTGAGAAGGTAAAAGAGTACTTGTCTCACACTCCTGTCCTGATGTCCCCTATCCCAGGAAAACCTCTGTTTTTGTATCTCTCCATATTCGAGAACTCCCTGGGGTGTGTTCTGGGTCAACACGACGAGTCTGGGAAGAAGGAAAGAGCCATCTACTACTTAAGCAAGAAGTTCACCGATTGCGAGGTCCGATATCCTCCTATTGAGAAGGTCTGTTGTGCCCTGGTATGGGCTACAAAAAGGCTTCGACAATACATGTTGTATCACACCACTTGGCTGATTTCCAAGTTAGACCCTCTAAAATACATGATGGGTGTACCTGCTCTATCCGGAAGGCTAGCCCGATGGCAGATGCTTTTGTCTGAATTTGACATCGAATACGTAAGCCAAAAAGCGGTAAAAAGGCAGCGCCATATCCGATTTTTTGGCAAGCAGAACTGATGAGAGCTATGAGCCGCTGGACTTTGATTTCCCAGACGAGGACTTAATGGCCATATCTTTAGAGGAAGCAAGCATTTCAACGGACGGTTCCTGGAGAATGCACTTCGATGGGGCATCAAATGCACTAGGACATGGCATCGGGGCAATTCTAGTCTCCCCAGAAGGGAGTCACTACCCATTTACCAGCAGACTGAACTTTGATTGTACCAATAACATGGCAGAATATGAAGCCTGTGTCTTGGGAATTCGGGCTGCACTGGGGCAAATATAAAGACTTTGCGGGTGTACGGAGACTCAGCTTTAGTAGTCTATCAGCTCCGAGGAGAGTGGGAAACCAAGGATATAAAGCTGTTGGAGTACCGAAAACTAGTGTTGGATCTGCTCGAAGAGTTCGACGAAGTCACCTTCCACTACGTGCCTAGAGAAGAAAATCAAATGGCTGACGCTCTAGCTACCTTGGCAGCCACATTCAAGGCTGGCGGGGAGTCTGAAATGATGCCAATTAACATGCAGTGTATGAGTACCCAGCTCATTGTTACCAAATTGAAGAAGTGAAAGACACTAAGCCTTGGTACTACGACATTCTGCAGTATATCAAGCATCGGAGTTATCCAGAAAAAACCACTGAAATCGAGAAGAGAACCCTTAGAAGGTTGGCAGCTGGATATGTCCTTGACAGAGAGGTTTTATACAAGAAAAGCCATAACCAAGTTCTGTTAAGGTGCGTCGATGCTGAAGAGGCAAAAACGATAGTGGAAGAAGTACATGATGGGGTTTGTGGAGCACATGCAAATGGGCATATGATGTCAAGACAAATAATGAGATGCGGATATTTTTGGTCCACACTGGAAAGTGATTGCATCAACTATGCTAGGAGATGTCATAAATGTCAGATTTATGGAGACAAGATAAATGTTCCACCCCATCCGCTTCATGTAATGACGTCACCATGGCCTTTTCTGTGTGGGGCATGGACGTTATCGGGCAAATCCATCCGAAGGCTTCGAATGGTCACCGTTTCATTCTCGTAGCAATTGATATTTCACGAAATGGGTAGAGGCTGCGTCATACGCCAGTGTCACTCAATCCACTATTTGCAAGTTTCTGAAGAAAGAAATTATATGTCGGTATGGTCTACCTGAAAGGATTATCACCGATAACGCAACAAACTTGAACAACAAGATGATGAGTGCTGCCTGCGAACAGTTCAACATAAAACATCACAATTCCACTGCTTACAGACCAAAGATGAACGGAGCAGTAGAAGCAGCAAACAAAAATATTAAGAAGATAGTGGAGAAAACAACTGAAACCTACAAAGACTGGCATGAGAAGTTGCCTTTTGCTTTGTTCGCTTATCGAACCTCGGTACGTACATCGACTGGGGCAACTCCATTTTCACTAGCCTATGGAATGGAAGCAGTGCTACCCATTGAAGTCGAGATTCCGTCTCTCAGGGTCTTGTCAGAAGTCAAACTAGATGATGCAGAGTGGGCACAATCCAGATATGATCAGCTTAATCTGATAGATGAAAAAAGACTAAAAGCCATTCATCATGGTCAAATCTATCAGAAACGAATGATCCGAGCGCACGACAAAAAGGTGCGCCCGAGAATATTCCGTGAAGGGGATCTAGTGCTAAAAAGAATTTGGCCAGTCCAGAAAGATTTCCGAGGAAAATGGACGCCAAATTGGGAAGGACCTTATGTCGTGAAGAAAGCTTTCTCCGGAGGAGCCCTTATCCTGGCTGAAATGGACGGACCTGAGCTGCCACATCCCATTAACTCGGACGCAGTCAAGAAATACTTCGCTTAGGATGAAAACCCGAGAGGGCGTCCTGAGTTGAAAAAAAAAAAAAAAAAAAAAAAAGGAACGTTTAGGGTGAAAACCCGAAAGGGCACCCTAAATTGAAAAAAGAAAAGAGAGGAAAAAAGAAGAGGAAATAAGGTGGGTTCAAGATGAAAACCCGCAAAAGGGCGTCTTGCAACTAAGGATGGGTCCAAGTTGAAAACCCGGAAAGGGCGATTTGGATATCACCGGTGGAAACATCCCGACACATGAATCTTCTACGAACTCAACAAATCGGAGAAATGTTGCACCCTCCCAAACGTTGTCGCATTTTCAAAGATCCTTTGGCAAAGGTTGCATTCAAAGTCACCAAACGGCTTTTCAACTCAGAAGTGCCCACGTTATCGAGATCTAAGACATTCATTTACACATCATTGTGTATTCATTTTCTAGAATGTTTGCCATGTATTACTTGTTCTTCTCCTCCCTTATGAATAAAGACCATCTTTCCTCCAATTCCTTTTGAGCATCTTGAATTAGATTTAAACCTAATGGTTTATTTATTTTTATGAAAGATAATCTCATATTACTGTACAAAGATTCATTGAAAAGTACAGGTATCCAGAAGCCGATCAAGGCTCATGCACATGCTTGAGATGGTTGAGGAGCATCTTCAAAAAAAAAAAAAAAAAAAAAAAAAAAAAAAAACATCAAACATTTGAAGAATTCAAGATCAGAGATCGGAACTTCAAGCTCAAGAGTCAACAACGACAGGCCACCGGAGATCGAGATTACTCCCCAGAGCCCAGAATAACATATGTTGCATATGCATTTTAGGCATACCTAAGGGCATGACATCCATAACATCACATATATGCATATCTTTGCAGGTTTTATTCAGAGCCAATTTCAACTTCACAACGAAGGATATTGGACTCCAGACAACGCAAGTTCAACTTCACGACGAAGGGACCGCTGGCTGTCAACAAACATTTCTCAATTTCAGAGCCAATTTCAACTTCACAACGAAGGATATTGGACTCCAGACAACGTAAGTTCAACTTCACGACGAAGGGACCGCTGGTTGTCAACAAACATTTCTCAATTTCAGAGCCAATTTCAACTTCGCAACGAAGGATATTGGACTCCAGACAACGCAAGTTCAACTTCACGACGAAGGGACCGCTGGCTGTCAACAAACATTTCTCAATTTCAGAGCCAATTTCAACTTCACAACGAAGGATATTGGACTCCAGACAACGTAAGTTCAACTTCACGACGAAGGGACCGCTGGTTGTCAACAAACATTTCTCAATTTCAGAGCCAATTTCAACTTCACAACGAAGGATATTGGACTCCAGACAACGCAAGTTCAACTTCACGACGAAGGGACCGCTGGTTGTCAACAAACATTTCTCAATTTCAGAGCCAATTTCAACTTCACAACGAAGGATATTGGACTCGAAAACAACACAATTTGCTCGAGAGTAGATTTCAACTCCACGACGGAGGATATCCAACTCGAAGCCAAACTTCACAATGAATGACTCATACTCAGAATCTTCCAGCTTTGACTCAACCTCACGACAAGGGAACAATTTCAATATCGAATCTCAACACTACGACAGAGGATATTCGATATGACCGAAATTTGTGTCTTTTAATCTTTGATCTATTATCATTACACGATAATGAGCAAAGAGGGGCAGCTGAAGACACTTAATTTCGTTTATGTTTTAAATAATATTACATATTGTAACATTGTTAAGTTTGTCTACAGGCCCAATGTTCGGCCCAGTTTACGCAGTAACCCTAGTTCATGGTTCCCAACTGAGCGCCGCAGACCCAAGAACTCCCCATGCTCCACGCCTCGCCAGCCGCTCAACACACCCGGTTCTCTCGGTCACAAGCAACGGTCGTGGGTTCCAAGCAACTAACAAGCATTCAAACAATGAGTTTCAGTTTGTTTAGGACTCTATGACTAAAAATAGGATGTAAATAAACTATAAATGGATGTAATCAGAACCCATCAAGGGACACTTTTTTTTTTCACAAAAGGTGAGACCGAGAATACAAAAACAAAAATTACACAAAAACTACGAGCAATATTGGGTTGATATCGAAACATTTTTTTTCAAGATTCTCGAAAGCAACAGAAGGTAAAGTCCATACCGTGTACGTTTTGAGGCTTGCATGCTTGTTGTTTCGTTGTTCTTTATTCAAAAAATACCAAAGAAAACTGTTTGGCCGATGAACTTTTAGGGGAAGGATCGAGATTTTGATCTCAGATCTACCCTCCCCGAGGCCTATTTCAAAAAGGATTTGAGATTTGAGTCGAGGGAGAGAAAGGCTTTCAGAAAAACCAATTTTTTTTTTTTTTTTTTTTGGGTTTGCCGCGATGATCGGTGGCCGGCGCCGACCAACGGCGGCGGCGAGGCGGCGTGTGGCCCTTTCTGGGATTTTACGGCGGCGTGTTCTTCATTTCTGAAGAACACGCATGAACAGATGAAGGAAACGAGAGAAAGAGAGAAAGCTCTCGGGCGAAGAGGAGAGAAATGAAAATCTCAAAAAAATATTTGAGTCATATAGTTAGCCCAGCGGACCAAACCGGCCCGACCCGTGCTTATATCAGATCCGCGTGTTTTGCTAAAAGGGGCAAACTGCGTTTGGCTCCCTCTGTTTTGAAAAACATTCAATTTGGTCCCAAATCGGTTGGGTAAACTTCATTTTGGCTCCCTCTGTTTTGAAAAACATTTAATTTGGTCCCCAAATCGGTTTAATTCCCCTGGTTATATTCTAATTCTGCCATCTAACCTTATTTTGTTTCATTTTACCCCTTTATACTTATATATATTTATTATATCTCGTATTTGCTCTTTATACATTGATATTTGGATTTTTATTTATTTACACTATATTATATATTCCTATTAGTTTATATATATATTACATATTCTTTTATTACATGCTATTTATATATATATATATTACTCATATTTGCCTTTTTTATATATTATTTTCTTTGTTTTTATATTTTTTGTTCATGTATATTTTCATTTACCTATCTATTTATATTTTTATATTTTTTTCTTTATTTGAATTTTCGTATTTTTCCTTGTAAATTTTATTCATATTTCATTCTTAATTCTTGTGTACATTATACTTTCTTTATTTCGTTTGTTCGCCTTATTTTTTTTCTAATTTTATTTTTTATTATCTAACCATTTTTTCAATTTTTTAAGGATGTTTTCAAAACAATCAGAAGTAAGTAATTCAGGGTCAAATTTTACCTTTTTAATTTAACATTGCAATTTTATTAAATCAAGACAACTGGAAATTACACAGTACCGAAAGGGCAGTTCAAGGGTGCTAGCCCTTCCTTGACTGTAACCGACTCCCGAATCCGACACATCTCTGGTAAGACGCAGATCAGGTAAGAAATAGGGTATCCGATCAACCCATTTATTTTTAAATAAATGATCGGTGGCGACTCCAATCCACATTTTCCTAAGTCGAAGCCCAATTCCGGGGCCCAACCGAAAGACGGTTGCGACAAATATCATAAGCCAATATGGATAAGAACTAAATAGAGGCAAAAACAATGAATTTGGAATATAAGAGTCCATTTGTTTCACGGAAAATGAATTACATTTCCTGGAAATTATTTTACGGTATTAGATGATGTTGTGTAATTCATTTTCCACTAGTCGATAAATTTTTTAAAAATTCTTTATTATAAACATCAAATATAATAAATAATATTATTTATTAACAAAATAATAATATTATTTTTAAAATATTAAAATAATAATATTATTAAAATATAAAAAATATAATATTAAAATAAGAATATTATATTATATTTAAGGAGTATATTCAACAACTTAATATTATTTTATGAAATTAATAAATAATATTAATTTTATTAATAATTATTATATATTATTAAAATAAAAGTATAACACTATATATTCTAATAATATAATTATAACAATAAAATCTTATATTATAAAAATTATCAATAAATATAATTTAATAATTAATATTTTTATTAAAATGATACTAAAATAATATATTAATATTAAATATATAAAATAATAATATTTTAAATATTTATACATTGAAGCTATAAATTCATAAAATGACTTATGAAAATTTAATTGACCAGTAAAATAAATTACATTATCTATCTATTTTCCGCCAACCAACCAGAGAAAAACATTTTCTGTACACTTACCTTGGCATCATTGCGAACGAACTGAATACCATGCCCCGGATATACAGTGGAGGAACAAAACCAGCACTTCTCCAATCTCATCTTGCTCTAAAATTAACTGAAAAAAAAAATACAATATCCAAAGCAGAAAGAAGCGAAGGCAACATCAGAAGTAATTACATGATGAAACTAATTAGCAATAGCTAAGGGGCATCCTGTAATCCCGTCTTGTTCTCAAATTAATTAAAAAAATACAGTTTGTAGAACAGAAAATCCCAATCAAGAAACTCAACCTATTAACATTATCCAAGTGAAACAAAATTACTTTTAACAGTGAATGCTAAACCTAATTAGAAATACTTAAGGGTATCCCGTCGCTATATTGCGGCGGTGCCATCCTCCACCACTAAAGACCTCAATACCGGCGGATGGAAGCAGCGATTACAAGCGCTTCCGAAAATAGCGGCGATACCGATAGCTTTATAAAAACCTCCTTTCCCAACAAAGTAAACAGAAAGAGACAAGGTATCAAGCAGTAGGACCGAAGAAGAAAATGAAATGTGGCAGATTTATGCAGTCAGAAACCAGAGAACTCAAAATCTCGTGGCTCAACTAGGTAAATATATCTTCAAGTTAAGTTTAGGGTTTCGAAACGTCACCTTATTTAACTCCCTGGTCTGCAAAAAGAGAGATCTTGGATCAGGGACTAGAGGAGAAGGAGGCTGGTGAGACACTCGCTTGGCGGCGGGGATGTGTGAAGAGAGATCATAGTAGGTCGAGAAATTTTTATAGCATTTTGTTTAGGGTAAACTACACTTACTCTCATTAAGATTCGAGTAAGTTTCTGTTTTCAACATTGAGGTTTCAAAAGTAACGAAACGGTTACTAACATTATCGTTTAATAATATTATCTCCATAAACATTGGGCTTGAGACTGAAATTAAAAAAAACTATTTTTCTTATTTTATTTATTTATTAAAAATTAATATATAAAATATTAGATAAGATCATTTATATAACTTAAAGATAACCGGAAATTTTTAAACTCTAAATAAATATATGAATGCATTGATAAATAAGAAGAAATTATTAAAATTTACATTAACATATAATCTATAAGTACAATTATGATGTTAAAATTGACACATATATGACCAAACATATTTAGTTGATTGTCCAAGCTTATCATCCGTGTTTCCTCATATCCTTTTAAATCATTAGTCTTAAAGGCACTAGAAATATTCATTTTTTTCTTGGAGTCTCCCTCTCTCTTTTTTTTCTAAGTAAGATTAAAATTGAATTTAGAATTTATAAAATAAAAATTACACATATATATAAATTATTTGTTTTCTAATTTGTTTTCTCTTTTTTCTTAATCGTCATCAATTTTTTTTTTTATTTTTGTGAGCGGCAGCGACAACATTAATCTTAGTGTTGATCGCCTACCACCTGTATTTATTATTTTTCCTCTTCTTTATTATAGTGTATTTTAATTTTTTTTCCTTGTTTTTTTATTTCTAATCATGTCTCTATAGCCTGTATTCTTCTGCTTTTATGGCGCATTTTACATTGCTTAGGGTTGGATTTAACATCGCTACGACTAATCAAGATGATGTTTTATTTGTTATCATGTTGATCTTCTCTGCTTTAGACCTTCAAATTGAATTTGGACACGATTTACATTCTTGTATAGTATTAGTGGCCTTTCAATAGTTTTGTCTCTTTTTGTGGCTCATTTACCAATGCGGTCAGAGCTATTCTTATCTACCGTTTATCTGAGTTTATTTTATTTATTTTTTAACATTTTCCTTGTATAGCCTTTGTGATCTTAAACGGCTAGTTTTCTCGCGTTTAGAAAAATATTTTTATTATATTTTTAAGTTATGACAATGATTGTAAACCTTAATTGTAATTTTGATATTTTCTAGTTTTAATAAAACTAATGGCTTCTATAAAAAAAATTTAGACACATTTTTTAAGTTGAGTTATATTTTAAATATTTATACTAATATTTAAACTTATTTATTCTTTTATATAAAAAATTCATTTTAATGTGCAATGATACGTTAATTGATAATATATATAGATATATAAACGTGTTTATTCTTTTTAATGCTTTTCCTTATCCATATGTAAAAGAAAGCGTACCTAAGGCGCCGAGTATATGTAGACGTTAGAAAATTCGCCTCTGACAGCACAAGTGAGATGGTGACCGACGGGCGCACTCTTCCTACGATTTTAGTGCTTTTTCGGAGTAGCACAAGCATTTTTGAGTTCCTTGCTTCTCCCGTCACCACAATGAAGCCACCACGTCGATGTCGCACGCTGCCAGTCACCAACCACAAATCACCAGGTCGTCTCTTTTATCCGTCGTACACTCACACGTTTACCCTTTAGTTTTATTCATTTCTGCCAACTGCGTAACCACCCATTTTATATAAGAATTGAAAAAAAAAACAAAGAAGAGAATTGCGACAGTCAAATATATATTATACTCAAATAGAGTGAATTATAAATATTTAATGCATCATCTTTTCTCAAATTATGCAGAAACAACAATTATTAATAGCATTAATGTCATATTCTTTTCCCAACATGTTATTTAATACATTATATTTTTCCAAATTATGACATTAATGTCATTTTCTTTTCCCAATATGCTATTTATTACATTATTTTTTCCTAAACAGTGAACTATTAAAAAATGAGACAATCAATCAAAAAATTGTTAAACTATTTTGTTCATAAATAATAGATTTTATAATAGTTATTCCGATTGATATTCAATATAATCTTTAGAAAGATTGAAATATAAACTTATTAATTTTAGCAAGACAAAATGTTTTAATCGCGTAATCTAAACCTTTTCATTTTCTAATTATTCGAGTAAACAATCTCATAAACTTTAATTTGTGAGTTGATAACATATGTGTGATTATCTTGTAAATGCACCTATTGAATATTTTTCCACATTATAGATAAATGAACTCATATTTCAATTAGACATACAAGACATTCAGTCTCATCTTTAACTAGTTAGGTTTTAAATTCATTTGAGAATAAATAACACAATAACTTCATGTTCTTTTATTAAAATTTATGCGAATCTCAATAATTTTTTCACATCATTATTGATTGGGATAGTCTAACAAATCATACCAGTTTACTAAATTTTTTGAATTTGTAAACTTTTGATTTACCATGATTCAATATCATTCATATAAACTTGTAAACTTTCTAGTTATTATATGATTCAATCACATTCAAAAATTATAAATTTCTGATTTATCGTAATATGTGATTCACTCTTCATACGTGTGTGTAGTGCAAACAAAAGAAAATTATACAATTTTGAGTTATAAGTTTCTTTAAAACTAAAAAATACATTATCTATTACAAAATAGATCATTCAAATATAATACATTTAGCACTTTTAGAGAATTTAATAAATCTGGTAACATTTTAGGTTTAAATAAAAAAATGTCATGTTCCCTGTATTAAATCATGTGCGTTGGATAAATTTTCAGATCAAGACGTAAAAGAATTGTCGATAGTGATTTTTTTTTTCAATTGAGAAACTCAGATAACATTGTAGATTATAACTATAATTTTTTTAAGATAAACATGATAATATTTTAGATTTAATCAAATAATAATTTAAATTTTACTAATTTTCAATTAAACGAATCATACTATAAATTTACCTTAAATTAGATGCATCAAAACATAAACCTACTTCCGATCAGTTCCATGGGCAGAAGCTCCGGGAAGGCTGCGTTGAAGAAATGCATGATTGAGACAGAGGGCAGTGGGCACATGCCAAAGCCACCTCTCCATATCTAGGGATGGGTATGAGACTGAACCCGATCCGATCCGATTTTTTTTAAAAAAAATTAGGGTCGGGTCGAGTTCGGGTTTAAGGTGAAAAATACTTGACACGACTCAAAAAAATATAAATTTACATTATATATATATAAATAATTACAATAATACCCCTCTATATACTATTTTTTCAATTAAGTTACCGTTTTTATTGAATAAAAATATTTTTTTTATTATTTCGGGTCGAATCGGATCGAATTTTTTAAGTTATATATCAGATCGGATAAAAATTTATTTTAGTCAGATCAGATCGAGTCTCAGGTGGAGGACTCCTTACTCTCGGATCAAATCGAGTGGACCAACCCGACCCATACCATCCCTATCCCTATCAAAACAAACCCCACTCAAAACCTCTTCCTTTTATTTTTCTTCGCTTCGTGGTCGTGGCTTTCATCTTAAAATAAATAAGAAAAAAATTAAAGTAGAAGGATAACTTTTATTTCTGTATTAGATCTAATTTTTTTATTTTTTATTAGATTTTTACCTTAATTTAGGTCTTGAAGTTTTTTAATTGTATCATTTTATATCTTATCTTTAAATTAAACATTAAATTATAAAATTTTAAATCTTAAATTATAATTTAAAATTTTAAGTTAAAGGTAAAATATATAATGATGTAATTAAAAAATTTAAATGTTAAATTAATATGAAAATACTATGAACGAAAATAATAAATAGTAGAAACAAAGGTAACCGTAAATAAAAAAAATTACTATTAAAAATTAAAAGAAAAACACACTGGAAAGTTCTTCGATTTCTCACCCCAAAAGGAAAAAACGATTAATTTCCCCCCAAAACCCCCAAAAAGGAACTCAAAAAATCTTTTCTTTTCCTCGCTTTCTAAAAAATTCGATCGAACTCTCCCTCAATCCAATTTAAAATCTCAATTTCTCTATATTGTAGGGTTTCTAATTTTCTGCTCTTATTGTCATTCAAGAACCCGAAAATTCATTGTTTTGGGAATAGGAAATCATGGAAATAGAGATTGTGGGTGATGTGGCATCTCTTGATCCTGAGTTGCTTCAGCTCCCTGACCTTTCTCCTTCAGTTCTCAAATCAAATCCTTTTCTTGCCGAACAACTCCTCTCTCTTTGGCTTTCCCTTCCCGAAACTGGTCGCCTGGTAAGGTTTTTCACATTTATCGAATAATATTCCTTTTGGCTGGTGGCGCTCCAGCTATCATGTATTGCCTTGGGTTACAGGAATATAAGTTGCGATGAGTGTTCGAGGGCATGGTGTTGGTTCTCACCATGCTAGGAGGAAATACTCTTCGAGCTATGGTGCTTGATGGCTGGTCCTCAGGACCCTCGAGCTAGATGGGTGCTTGAGGACCTCTAGCAGGAATGACGATTAAGCGGGATTTAAATAGCAGTCCGCAATGCAACTGCAAATAGCGCCCGCTATATAGCGGTACCTTCGGGTACCGTTATTGCATGACTCTGATACAGGCAATCATCGCAATAGCGATAAAAGCAAACCGAAAATACGATCACAATCGCAATTTAAATTCCTACTAATGAGTACGCATAACGAAATGGGAGTCGGTGTCCCTCCCTTGAGATGATGCGTTTAGATGTGAATGTCCGGTCGAGTCTAAATTCTCTATATGAGGTTGGGTTCTAGCAAAGGGTTCCCAAGCCATTTTACAACCTGCTAAGGTTGCCTCCGATTCTGGCCCATTACAGACTTCTGAATCGAGTTCGGCTCAGGGGATCACACCACTAAAAGCGTACCTCGGATTCGATATCCGGATAGGCAACTTAGGGTGCTTTCCAGAGATACTTTGTCAGACTCACACAAAGAAGCCCAATACTCCTCGTGAGGTGTGGCGTTTCTCTCTACTTAGGTAAATCGGGTTAGAG